GGATCGTTTCTCACCTTCCCCAAACAAGTCCCTGGGTGACATGAGACCAAGGTTTTCACCTCCTGCGATGTTCCCTGTTGTTTAGAAAGTCTCTCCGTTGTTTCCCTGGCTTCAGAAGTTCTTCCACTCATCAACTCAGAACTTTATCTCTTCCACAGCTCGGAAACTGTGTGTGCTAGTCGCCATCTTGGCTCCGCCCCCTCTCATAAAACTTATTCACTTTGTATCTTCCCATAAGTCCCTCCCTCCTCCCCTCCCAGCCCCACCCTCCCTCCAGTTTCTTCTCCCTTGCCCCTCCCAAGTCCACTGATAGGGGAGGTCCTCCTCTCCTTCCTTCTGATCTTAGTCTATCAGATCCCATCAGGAATGGCTGCATTGTCATTTTCTGTGGCCTGGTAAGGCTGCTCTCCCCTCAGGGGGAGGTGATCAAAGAACAGGCCTATCAGATTATGTCAGAGGCAGTCCCTCTTCCCATTACTATGGAACCCACTTGGATACTACGCTGTCATGGACTACATCTGTGCAGGGGTTGGTTCTTGGTTATCTCCATTCATGTTCCTTGGTTAGAATATGAATCCCTGTGGAGAACCCTGTGTTCAAATTTTCTGGTTCTGTTGCTCTCCTTGTGGGGTGCCTGTCCTCTCCAGATCTAACTATTTCCCACTTCTTACTTAAGATTCCATGCACTTTGTCCATCAGTTGGCCTTAAGTCTCAGTGTCTGCTTTGATAGTCTGTAGGAAAGAGCCTTTCAGAGGCCCTCTGTGGCAGGTTCCTAGGTTGTTTCCTGTTTTCTTCTTCTTCTGATGTCTATCCTCTTTGCCGTTCGAGATGGGGATTGAGCGTTTTAGTCAGGGTCTGCTCTCTTGATTAGTTTCTTTAGATGTTAAGGGTTTTAGGAGGTTTATCCTATGTTATATGTCTATATGAGTGAGTATATACTGTGTGTATCTTTCTGCTTCTGGGACAGCTCACTCAGGATGATCCTTTCCAAGTCCCACCATTTACCTGCAAATTTCATGATTTCCTTATTTTTCATTGCTGAGTAATACTCCATTTGTGTAGATGTACCACAATTTCTGCATCCATTCTTCAGTTGAGGGGCATCTGGGCTGTTTCCAACTTCTGCCTATTACAAATAAAGCTGCTACAAACATGGTTGAACAAATGTCTTTATTGTGTACTTGAGCCCCTTTTGAATATATGCCTAGGAGTGGTATGGCTGGATCTTGAGGAAGTGCTATTCCTAATTGTCTGAGAAAGTGTCAGATTGATTTCCAGAGTGGTTGTACCAGTTTACATTCCCACCAGCAGTGGAGGAGGGTTCCCCTTTCTCCACAACCTCTCCAGCATGTGTTGTCACTTGAGTTTTTGATCTTGGCCATTCTGATGGGTGTAAGGTGAAATCTCAAGGTGGTTTTGATTTGAATTTCCCTGATGGCTAATGAGGTTAAGCATTTCTTTAAGTGTTTCTCTGCCATTCGATATTCCTCTGTCGAGAATTCTCTGTTTAGCTCTGTTCCCCATTTTTTAAGTGGATTTCTTGGTTTGCTGTTTTTCAGCTTCTTTAGTTCTTTATATATACTGGATATTAGCCCTCTGTCAGATAAACAGTTGGTGAAGATTCTTTCCCAGTCTGTAGGCAGTCGTTTTGTTTTGATAATGGTGTCCTTTGCTTTACAGAAGCTTTTCAGTTTCATGAGGTCCCATTTATTGATTGTTGCTCTTAGAATCTGTGTTGTTGGTGTTCTGTTCAGGAAGTTGTCTCCTGTACCAATTAGTTCAAGGGTATTCCCCACTTTTTCTTCTAACAGATTTAGTGTGTCCGGTTTTATGTTGAGGTCTTTGATCCACTTGGACTTCAGTTTTGTGCAGGGTGATAAGTATGGATCTATTTTCATTTTTCTACATGTAGATATCCAGTTAGACCAGCACTATTTGTTGAAGATGCTATCTTTTTTCCATTGTATCGTTTTGGCATCTTTGTCAAAGATCAGGTGTCCATAGATGTGTGGGTTTACTTCTGGGTCCTCTGTTCTGTTCCATTGATCCACCATTCTGTTTCTATGCCAGTACCATGCAGTTTTTATAACTGTTGCTCTATAGTACAGCTTAAGATCAGGGATGGAGATACCTCCAGAAGATCTTTTATTGTAGAGGATTGTTTTAGCAATTCTGGGTTTCTTGTTATTCCATATGAAGGTGAGAATTTTTCTTTCAAGGTCTGTAAAGAATTGTGTTGGTAATTTGATGGGAATTGCATTGAATCTGTAGATTGCTTTTGGTATGATGGCCATTTTTACTATGTTAATCCTGCTCAGCCATGAGCATGGGAGATCTTTCCATCTTCTCATATCTTCTTCTATTTCTTTCTTCAGAGACTTGAAATTTTTTTCATACAAGTCTTTGACTTGCTTGGTTAGGGTTACTCCAAGGTACTTTATGTCATTTGTGGCTATTGTGAAGGGTGTTGTTTCCCTAATTTCTTTCTCAGCCCTTTTGTCTTTTGTGTACAGGAGGGCTACTGATTTTTTTTAGTTAATTTTGTATCCGGCCACTTTGCTGAAGGTGTTTATCAGCTGTAGGAGTTCCCTGGTAGAGTTTTTGGGGTCACTCATGTATACTATCATATCATCTGCAAATAGTGATAATTTGACTTCTTTTCCAATCTGTAGCCCCTTGATCTCCTTCAACTGTCTTATTGCTCTAGCAAGGACTTCAAGTACTATGTTGAAGAAATGGAGAGAGTGGGCAGCCTTGTGTTGTCCCTGATTTCAGTGGGATTGCTTTAAGTTTCTCTCCGTTCAGTTTGATGTTGGTTGTAGGTTTGCTGTATATCGCTTTTACTGTGTTTAGGTATGTGCCTTGTATCCCTGATCTCTCCAATACTTTAAACATGAATGGATGCTGGATTTTGTCAAATGCTTTTTCAGCATCTAGAGAGATTATTATCATGTGTTTTTTTTCTTTCAGTTTGTTAATATGGTGGATCACATTGGTGGATTTCCGTATATTGAACCACCCCTGCATACCTGGGATGAAGCCTACTTGGTCATAGTGGATGATATCTTTGATGTGTTCTTGTATTCGGTTTACAAGTATTTTGTTAAGTATTTTTGCATCACTATTCATAAGGAAGGTTGGCCTAAAATTCTCTTTCTTTGTTTGGTCTTTGTGAGGTTAAGGTACCAAGGTGACTGTGGCTTCATAGAATGAGTCATAATTTCTTTTCTTACAAAACTAAACTCTACTATTTGACACTTTCCTTCTCCCACCTCCAGGCCCCTGGTAATCACTCTTCCAATTTTCTACCAACTTAATAGATAACTCATATAAATAAAAGCATACAGTCTTTGTTCTTCTTTGGCTGACATACTTCAGTCAGCATGGTATCTTCAAGGTTCCTCTGTGATGCAGTATGTGGCCTTCTTTATATGGCTAAATAATAATCTGCTGTGTGAAAATGCTGTGTTTTGCTTCTGTATTCATCTGGTGCAGGGCAGTCAGGAATTTGGGCTGCTCCCTGCTTCTATATTTTGTGAACAGTAAGGTATAAATGTTTTATATTGTTGTTCAAACATCACTTTGAGATTGGGCTTACAGTGGGGTTCTTGCGTCGTATGGAAGGTCTCCCCACCTTTTTAAGACACTGTCTCACTAGGTTATACAGGTTGGCTTGGAACTTGCCATCTTGCTCTGAAATCCTTCTGCATCAGTCTCCAGGTGTTGGTATTACAGGCCTCAGCCCATGCACCTGCCTGCTTGCTCCATTTTTAATTTCTAGAACTGCCAGCTGTATTCCACAGTGGTTGGATAATGGAATTTTAAGTATTCACCTCATATATGCTAACATTTGGAATGTAGAACTTTCATAATTATTATACTAAGCACAAAACTGGGGCATGGCTCCAGACTTAGTGGGATTCTTCCTTCAGGTAATTCTGGAATGTGGCTTCTCCTCTTCATGCTTAATATCCCTATATTATTAGCAAATGTTTGAGAGTGCAGTGTCTGAGTTTGGTTCTGGTCCTGAATTTTAACCATAGACACACAAATACATTTTTATATGTATGAATGACTGAGAGGAAGGCAGAGGGATGTCACAGTCTAAAAGGGAATTTGTACCCTTCCCGTTATCTACACTCAACTTAGTTTTAACCCAAGGACTTAAGCTAATGATGGTAAAAGGAGAGACTCTTGGATGGTCTTCAGTTTTAAAAAAGTGTATCAGTAAAGAAAAAAACATTGTTTCATTGTTTTTTTAAAGCTTTTTATTGATTCTTTGTGAATTTCACATCATGCACCCAAATTCCACTCATGTCTTCATTGCTCCATATCCACCCTCCATATTTGCAACTTCATCCCCAAAACAAACAAACAAAAAAACAAGCCCAACCCAACCCAAAGCAGAGTCTCTTGCATGCAAGCTGTGGGATGCCACACAGTCTGCCTTCTGCCTCAAACAGCTGTACTTGCAAATGTTCATTGCAATGACTCATTGGTCTAGTTTGAGGACTCTGGCTTCTGCTACACCATCAATACTGAATCCTTATCTGGACTCCTCTCAGATACCCTGTTGTTGCCCTGTGTCATGAAGATCTTGAAGCTTTGATTTTGCAGAATCAGTCTCTTTATGGGCTCTAGCACTTCACAGGTGGGGCAGCTGTTGTGGTGGGCCAACTCAAAGCCCTGGATCCTGGGCCTGGGAGGTAGCTGAGTTGTTCAGCTTTTCAGCTCTCCCGTGCCCACACCCTCTCCTGCTTTGACCAGGTGAGGTGCAGAGGCCCTCTTTCCCAGCGCTGCAGCCAAGGAGGGTTGGGGCCAGCTTCCCTGAGCTCACATCCTCAGGACCTGCTCACCCATGACATTATTTTTTTTATTATAATTTTTTTTGGAATGCATTAATTTATCAATGAAACATGCAATGTGTTTTCAAACAAATTTGTATTGTTTCCCTAGTAGGATATTATTGGAAATAAGCCCAGCATGTCTATTTCTTCAGGTTCACTACGACTTCGGTCTGCGGAACATTCTGTCTGTTCTGCGTACACTGGGGGCAGCAAAAAGAGCCAGTCCCACGGATACAGAATCCACCATCGTGATGCGTGTGCTGCGTGACATGAACCTTTCCAAACTGGTGAGACTCACAGGGGGAACTAATTCCATCTGCTTCAGCACGAGTTTAACGAATCGAATTTAGAAATATTTATTTAAATTTATTTAAATGCCCGATTCTCAGATCAAGTGCAGAGTTTAAATTATACATTTTGAGAAGTTTTTTTTCTCCCTTTCAATTAGCTCACCTCTAGTCAGAAATAGTTAGAATTGAATCGATTAAAAGACAAGCCATACACAGGGCTGGAGAAATGGTTCAGCAGTTAAGAACACCTAAGAGCATTAGCTGCTCTTCAAGAAGACCCGGGTTTCATCCCCAGCATCTACATGGTACCTGCCTTCTGGGGCAACAGGATACATATGCTACACAGACATATACACAGACAAAACATACCCATAAAATATAATAATAAATTATTTTAAAAACTCACACAATAAAGACCTAAGTAGGTTAAATCATCTCTGTGTGGTAGATAAAAATCTTGCTTTTAAAACGTCCTCAGGGCCTGATAAGGGGTTGTGTTTTATAAGGATGTAACGGTTTCCCATCCCTTTCTTTAATTTAATTTTTATTTTTTATATTAATTACAGTTTATTCACTTTGTATCTCAGCTGTAGCCCTCTCCCTCATTCTCTCCCAATCCCACCCTCCCACCCTCTCCTCCTCTGGTGCCCCTCTCCAAGTCCACTGATAGGGGAGGTCCTACTCCCCTTTCATCTGACCCTAGCCTATCAGGTCTCATCAGCTCAGTGGCTGGCTCTTTGATCACCTCCCCTTGAGAGGGGAGCATCCTTACCAGGCCACAGAGGAAGACAATGCAGTTTCCCATTCTCACAGGAACTACCAATAATCAATGTCTAGTATCAGTGTCTCTGTAGTATCAATCAAGAAACAAAATGCTGGTTTTATTTCAAAATGAAGTAGGAACCAGATTCCAGTTTATTAATTTGCAAATATATTTCATTAAGATAATATCTTTAGCTTAAGTTAGAAATTGAAGACTGAATGGGAGAGTTTCCTGAAATATTTGTTATGTAGATAGGATTTTCTTTTCTTCTGTTTTTTTTATCTTTACTCATCTTAACTTTGTAATTATGGGAGATGTGAGGAACATATATTATTTAAATTTGGTAGAGGTTCTATTTATCTACTTATGGCCACCCTGGCCTGTGTTGAGCATTTTCAAATTTTCTGTATATTCTGTGTTTGTGGTAAAATTCATTGCTGTTCTTTCTTTGTTCTTTGTAGATTGATGAAGATGAACCCCTGTTCTTGAGTTTGATTGAAGATCTATTTCCAAATATTCTTTTGGACAAAGCAGGCTACCCTGAGCTGGAGACAGCAATCAGGAAACAGGTAATGCATTTCATGGTGAAATGGGCGCTGCGTCTCATTTGTCTGAGTTTTGGGGGGATCAAGAGAAATGTCCTTACCTCACCTGTATCTCCAAAAGTGACAATGCTGCTGCAGCTTTTTAAAATGAGAGGTCTGTACAGGTCATTGATGAAGCTCCCGAAAGAGCTTTCCTGATTTCCCATAGCCACATGTCGAGGGAGTCACTTCCAAATGGCTGCAGCATTAGTGGGACCCATTCTGCTAGATTTAGAATAAAATGTCAAGATTGTCAGGGCTTGTGGGGACTCAGATGACTTCCTGCTGGACCTCAGCTTGGCTCTGCTGTCTGCCACAGTGGTCTCCAGACTTGTGTTTCTGTGTTCTACTTGAAGTGATGACATGTGACTTCTAGATATTCATTCTTTTCCTCTGGAGACTTGTTCTGTTTTTCATAATCTCTGTGATGGAGGGGTTCATTGCAGTGTGCCTAGTCAGGCATCTAGATGTATGGACACTTGCTGCTATTTAATTGAATCTTTCTACATGTGGAGGTGAACCATGTAAAACTTACATGCCCAAGTTTACCTTCCTTGAAGAACAATTTTAGAAAAAAAAATTGTTTTGTCCTTATTGTCCTTAGTTTACAACATAAAATTGATTTTCTTGAAAATATTTCAATATAATTCAGTTACTGTATATTTTTGCTTAAGAATTAGTGCACTGAAGTCTGCATTTACTTACTGATCAATAAAGAGTAATAATTCATTCTGCAAAAATATTTCCTCATCATTTGGCTAAATTAATTACAACCCTTTCTAAAAGGCTAAGTAATTTATAAGATGGCTTATGTAAGGTAACACTAGGCCATGGACTTTCTGAAGAGTGTTCATGACATGATGGTACATGATCATTATCCAAAATTATTTCTGTTTTTAATATTTTATTACTTAAATTTGTTCTTTGATAATTTCATAAGTGTATATGATATTCTGTATATATATGTTCTGATCACTCTCATCCTGCTTTTTTTTCCTCCTTCCCACCCACCCTATTTACCTCCTTCTTTACTATAAACCCTCTTCCCAGATTCATGTTTTTTTGTTTGGTTCCGAAACTTAATGAGTTGTTTAAGGACTGACCATGTTAGAATGTGTTTGGAGGTGTGTGGATAACTTGTAGCTCAGGGAACATCATGGAAGAGGGTACAGAAAGAATGCATGAACCAGATAATAGAAAGTGCAAAATGCCATCTTCTGGGCTCAGCATCGTAATGCAATTCATGGACTCAATATTAGTTTAGTCAACATAAAACCATGATTTATAATGAGTTAAAAAATAATGTAGTTGTTTTATAAATAGATCTTAGACCTGGCTGTTTTTGGGTTCAGATCCCAACTCCATGACTAAAAGTTATATCTCATAGAACACTGATCATTCCATGTTTCAATTTTCTTACCTATTCATAGTAACAATCTCATCATCTCATTTGCAGATTAATATTAGAACAGTGTTTGGAAGCTTCCATACCCCATGCTTTTAGAAGAAAAAAAGCATAGATGCACAGATACTATAACTAGTATTGAGATTGCTTAGAAGTTACATGGACTTTCAATCAATCTGACATACTATACATTTTTTTTCTTTTTGCCATTTAATGCTCTTTCCTTTTTTTAATAATTAATTTTATTTTATGTGCATTGGTATGAGGATGTCAGACCACCTGGAACTGCTTATGGACATTTGTGAACTGCCATGTAGGTGCTGGGAATTGAATGTGGGTCCCTCAGAAGAGCATACAGCGCTCTTAACCACCCAGCCAGATCACCAGCCCTAATGCTCTTTTCTTAAGTTTATCCTCAGAATTACATTCAATAAAGTATTAGTATTAGTATTATTGAAGTCAGTTCCCGAAGAGAAGAGCAAGTGCTTCTTAATAGCTTGAGATGATAGTTTGCCTCTATTGGGCCACTCTTTGTCTGTGTTGGCATACATTGTTTTTGAATGGTAGGTGTGTTTTGTTTTTAAATTGTGGTTAAGTACACACTGTCCAGTTCTTAGTTGTGATCGTAATGCTGTGAAGGAGGCAGTCTGATTGCAGTCAGTGCCCTCACACCATGACTATGACTGTGCACACAGTTACGATGTAGTCATCACTACTATCCATTCTCAGATCATTTTCTATCTTCCCAGACCAAAGCTCCACATAATTAACCCCCAACCTCCCATTTCTTCTCTCCCCTCCATCAGAGTAAGTGTGGCTCACACTGAATGCTGTCTAATAGGGGGATTTTGTTGTGTTTCAGGTTGAGGAAGCTGGCTTAATTAACCACCCTCCTTGGACACTGAAAGTCATCCAGCTGTTTGAAACACAGCGGGTGAGGCATGGAATGATGACGCTGGGGCCCAGCGGAGCAGGGAAGACCACCTGCATCCACACCCTGATGAAAGCCATGACAGGTGTGGAGCAGCAATTTCATTGCCCTGGGTGACACATTTCAACAGTTGTAGCACATTTGAGTGTTCAAGAGAGACATAAAAGAGACAGACACATTTTTGGGAAGAAATACTAATTTACCACTATTTGAGAAAATTTAAGAAATAATACATTGTGTTCATACACCACAAAAAGAAAATGTTTTAAAGTGACATTTTCATTGTGCTGTGTGTTTTACACATTTAATTTCCTCTTTGTATTGAATTGGAGAAGAGGCTGTTATTTTGCATAAAAATCGAGGCTCATACTCGGAAAAGCCCAAGGTCAGAAAATGGTAAATGATGGGAATGAGAGTTAGGGTAAGGGCCCATCAGCTAATTTCCAAGATACCATGCTGCTTCCCATTAAGTCCATAATACAATGTTACTTTTGAGTAACAAAAAATAATTCCAATCTCAACTGTAAACACTTTAGCAGCCTGAGCGGTGGCAGAGCTAAATCACAGAATTTTATGAACTTTGTCTGTTGGGATGAAATACACAGCACTGGAGGGGGAGAGGGTGCCATAGGGTTCCGGTTAGTGGAGCCCAGCTCACTGACTCTGGTACACTGTTGTTTGTTGTTGGAGACTGATGGTACCTGTGGCAGGGCTCTCAGTAGGATCCATTTAGTCTCATTTCTAGAAGTTATTAGATAATGTGGATTTTGTATGTGAGGGCTCTTCCAGATGGCCTCAGATGGTGTGAAATTCTGTTCTTTGCCAGTAACTATGTCCTCCAAACTGAAAACACACATCTTCAGGATTTATTATGTCGTTTTTTGTATATTCTGCAAGCCCTCTGTTTGTGATTTTTATTTTTTTAAATGATGAAGTTCTCATAATTATGCTCAATATTTATTATAGTTGACAATCAACTTCTGTTAACAATAAACTGCAAATGCACCAGGTTTCAGTAACTTGGACAGAATGAAATGCTAAACATTAAGCAATGTGGATACATTATGCATGCTATGTCTGAACTACTTGGCATTGTGGTTTTGGGAGAAATTCCTTGAAAAGCTAAATTTATTATTAGATGATTTGCTGTTTATTAATTAACTTACTCTTGGCTTTAGCATATAGGGTAAACATTAATTACATTAAGTAACACACTGTTTTCATGTTGAAAAGTATAATTATCCAAAAGACAAAGGAGACAGTTGAGTGGAACCCCTATTAAAGAGGTGCATGACGCATGCATGTTGTTTGCCAATTCACAATACAATTAATGTTATTATTATTTTTTAAATATTCTGTACTGTGCTATTCTGCCAGGTTTTATATTAGAAGCAGAGAAATACCATATAAAGGCATGTAAGAGGTTAACAGTGTGGCAGGGAGGCAGGCATAGACACAGATAATTATAACAGAATGTGTAATTGTTATGAGGAAGGTTTGAACTATAATGGGAGCAGAGGGAGAGGGGATGGGAAACTTTCTAAGTTATTATAGAGAGTCGTACAGAGAAGGCACCACTTCATCTGAGACCCGAGGCTCAGTAGCTGATGGATAAAAAGCATTTTTTTTTTGCAGAAGGAAGAGCCTGTAAAGGGTAAGAGTGATTGGGAAGGGTATGATAACACTGGCACAGTGCTTCAGCATGGCTGAAATACAGTTTGTATGTGGGCGGTGGGGGGGCTGCGTGTGGTGAGGCTTCATGTAGAGGTATGGCAAACGGTTAGTCTTGGCATGTAGTGTCACTCTTCTTTAGCACTCCCTTGCTGAAGATGTAACTGTGTTGGAGAGGCTCCACTCTAGCTTCGGAGATACCTCCCAGCTTTTAGTCCCATACTTTATTTCAAGAGGAGGAAGTAACTCAAAGAAAAGGAATTAATGTCCTCAAGACAGCCATATCTTTAACCAGTTGGAAGAGGAGCTGATGGCCAATGTCCCACCTCTTTTTTTTTTTTAAAGTCTATTCTGTAGTTGACTAGTTTTATGACATGCCATTTACTGACTTACTGCTTCTTTGTTCCTTTATTCAAGACTCCCAGAATCTGTCTCTGCCTTCTTTGTCCCTTTATTCATGACTCCCAGAATCTGTCTCTGCTTTCATTGGGCCCAAATTAGGGCAGTAGCTGTGACATGGGAAGCTTTCTTTTTTTTTAATTTTTATTTTTTTAATATTACTTACAGTTTGTTAACTCTGTATCCCAGCTGTATCCTGCTCCCTCTTTCTCTCCCACCCCCACCCTCCCATCCTCATCTCCTCCCTGCCCCTTTCCAAGTCCACTGATAGGGGAGAATCTCCTCCCCTTTCATCTGATACTGGTTTATCAGGTGTCTTCAGGACTGGCTGCAAAGTCATGGGAAGCTTTCTAATCATACTAAGTACCTGGGTTTCATTCCATATGTTTAGAAAAGCCATTGAACTCTGTGTGCCATGATTACCCCTGCTTGCAGAAAACCATCTGATGGCCATGGAGAGAAGAGAATATGGAGGGAGGTTTGTAAGGATCGACAGTAAGCAGTGATGCTCACAGTAGGTCACAGTCAGTGGAACAATCAGAACTCAGTCCAGAAACGCCTAGAGCTTACTCAAGAGGAATTCATTTAAGCAATGTTATGAAAGTCAAGTATTTATTCTTACAGTGTTTAAAAAAAAAACATTATTGTATCTTAAATGAAAAGGAAGCCCTACCCACTGTAGTGTGTTTTGATGTTTATCTTTTATGTACAACAGAATAAATACAGTTTTCACCCATGAAGCTGACCAACATACACTTAAAGATTTTCATAAAGTGTAATTATATTAAAAAATAGCATAGCCAGAGTGTTGTGGATGTCAATTATTGCAAAAGCTCAGCTGTGGTAAGATTGAACTTTAGCATCATGAAATACTGCAAATAATTACCCTAATTTGCTTTGTGAGTTCTAAAAATTAGAAACTGGGTTCCGTGCTCTAGGGAAACACATGCAGTAGGGGATGAATACACACACACAAACACACACATACACACAGAGACTTTTTCTGAGTTGGCTTAATGTTGATGGATGCCAAGAAGTCTGTAACCTGTTATTTTTAAATTGGAGATGTAGAAGAGCTGGTTCTGCACTTGTGTAACCAAAACTCAGAGGATAAGATGGTGTAAATCCTAGCCTGAAGACTGCAGAAGATGTACAACAACTTAAGCTCAGTCACAAAAGAGAAAAGAAAAAGCAGAGGGTCTAGGGGGGAAAATTCCTCCCACCTCATATCTCAAATTCTGTTAGGATCCTCCAATAAACGGATAATTCTTTTTTACTTTATTTTAGCTTTTTAAAATTTATTTATTTTTTATTAATTAGAATTCATTCACTTGGTATCCCAGCTATAGCCCCCTCCCCGTGCCCTCCCAATCCCACCTTCCCTCCCTCTTCTCCTCCCATGGGAAAATTCTTATAAACACTGAGAAAGTACTCACACCATTCCAGCATGGCATCCCTTTTGTCCCCAAGGCAATATGAATTTATTTCACAGACGGCAAAGTGCTGCACTCAATAAAGGATAACAAGGCTAATTATAACTTGGAATGCAGAATGACATATATTTTCAGTGTAATTTTTCACTTCTCATATTTTGACCACTTGCTGACAGTACACGACAAATTAGTGCAATGTTGCTTCATATTGACTCATGAAACATCTGAGATGTTTAAAATTTGGATGCGCTTGCTGCAGATTGTGGAAAACCGCACAGAGAAATGAGGATGAATCCCAAAGCAATCACTGCCCCACAGATGTTTGGTCGACTCGATGTGGCCACAAATGATTGGACTGATGGAATATTTTCTACCCTTTGGAGAAAAACACTGAAAGCAAAGAAAGGTAGAGGAATAAACATTATTTTAAACCTGCCCTTCTAAACAAAATCATAGATGGCTGGACAGATTTACCAAGCAGTGGTGCTGTACATAAAATATGTTAGTCAGACTAAGTAAAAGATTTCAGTATATTTCTGAGTGTTGAAGTAATGAAATTATTGGTTACTACACTTAAATCTTGTCTTTAACATTTTTATTGCATTTTACTTATTTATTTTGTGAACATGGTATGGAGTGTGGTATGTGTGTGTGTGTATAAGTATGTCATACTGTGCTTGTTAGGAGCTGATTCTGTGCTTCTATCATATGGATTCAGGGGTTGAAACTCAGGTCTTGAGGTTTGTAGGCAAGGACATTTTTCTATTGAGCTATCTTGCTGGCTCCAAATGTGTCCTCTTTAAAGGATGTTTGTTTTTTAAAATAATATTTACACATCCTTGTGATATTTTATAATAAAATAGAGAAAAGCTGTAAAGGAAGGTTGATAGTATTGAATAAAGTGATTTTTTTTTGCTGTGATTATACCCACTGCATAGTTTAAAAATGTAATATTTACATCTATGCAGCTTGTTAAAAAAAACAATTCTCCTGTGAAATCATGTACAGAAATGAGCTTCTTTGGGTAGAAAATTATATATACCAAAAGTGAGCTGGCAAATCATTTTGTTTTGGGGACAGTGGCATTGGATTGTTAAAGCAAAATTGAAGGGCTTGCTGTTCAGGTTGAATGGTCTCACATATAGACACTGTAAACAGCATAATGTGTTCTCAGAATATCAGCTCAGCTGGTAGCAGCTCACCTCTCTGTGCTACCTCACTTCTGAGAAAGAAAGGGGCAAGGGGCACAAAGGCAGGTAAAGAACACCGGAGGAAGGAGCTCTCGCAGGTCCTTCCTGCCTTCACTTTGGGTGGCAGAACCCTGGTGATGTGTTATGGGCAGCTTGGTCTTCATGTCAGTGTTCTAGTAAGGGGAGCCTCGGCTATCTCTGACTTGGGCCTGCCTTGCCAGACCACAGGGAAAGAGGATGCACTCAGTCCTGATGTGACTTGATGAGCTGGTGTGTGTGTGTGTGTGTGTGTGTGTGTGTGTGTGTGTCCCTTTTCTGAGGAATGGGGGAGGGAGAGAGAAGAATGAGGGGAGGGTGGGACTGGAAGAAGAAGAGCAGGGGTACTATGATTGGGATGTAAAGTGAATGAATAAATAAATTAGTAAAAGAGAGATAGCATTGTCCAAGTTCTCACAAAAGGAAAGGATCCTGACCCTTTAACATTGGTAGTCAAAAGATAGTGAAAATGACCCAATTGTTAACTACTACTGAACCAGAAATTGGAAAATTGCTTCTAATATGTTCAATAACCCAGGTAAATGTAGATGCAGTGATAAAATTTTACCTCCCAGAATTATTCAGAGAACAGTTTCTCTCAAGAGAACACAAGCTTTGCCTTTCAAAGTGACCCTTGCTGAGACCACCATTTCACCTATTGCTGTTGCTCAGTGGGTTTCATCAGGGATCCCAAGGCATTTAACCTGAATAGAATGCTCACAGTAAGGCAAAGGAAATTTAGAAACAGACAGTGATAGCATTAGTGACAGAGGTAGACAGACTTGAAGAGGAGTACAACTGAGCCAAATAACCTTCACTTACATTTGCATTCTTGCTGAGCTGCCTTCTGTTTGTCATTCTCTAGCTCCAATCATCTCCTTAAGTGACTCCTGTCAGGTGTCTCGATTGTCTCCTGAAATTACACTACTCTGAAGAACTTTGTTGATTTTTGGCATATAGAATACAGAGTGCTTTTTCTTCTCACTATAGTTCTGCCTTCAGTGATCTCTCTCACAAGCGCCACTCTTCTTCCTGAATCTTGCCTACTTGGGTTCAAAGATTCTCATCCTGCAGGCTACCCTGTCTCCCACATTCACTGGGACTGAGATGTCTGGAAAAGGTGGGAGGATGGAGGGGGCAACAGCGCAGTCTCTGGCAGAAATCTGAATGCTTCATTGCCTCTGTCCACAGACCTTCTGTCTTTCTTTACTATTTTTTCCCGTGACTTTAAATGCCACTTCTAAGCTGAAAGCTTCTACATTGTAACATGTAGTCCCTATCTCTCCCCCAAACTTCCAGATCAACAGCTTTCCTGGGGTTTCTGCGGGGTATTAACCCATGCAAAATTGAATTTGCCTGCTCCTCCCCAACATCTTTCCTATTGTACTGATATACCACCCCTTCTCATTTTGTTGCTAGGTCTGATTTCGTCCTGCCCAGACTGTCTTATTTACTTCTCTTCGTCCCTTTGGACGGCTATAATACAACACAGTGGATGAAGCTATCTGCAAACAACAGATAGACATTTAACTTGCACTCTTTTAAAAGCTGCCAACTTTTTGGTTGTTTCCTTTCATGGACAGAAGGGTGAGGGATTTCTTTTTCATCACAGGGCACTAACCCCATTCCTGAAGGCACTAACTCATTCCCTAATGTTAGAGAATAAGATTTCAACATCTTACCTCGGAGGGCACAAAATGTTCTGTCCATTTTATCTCCTGAAGCTTGTTCCTGCTCCAGGGTCTTTGTACCTTCTTTTCATAGATGTGAAAAACTCTACCTGCAGATCTTTAAATCACTTCATTCTCTGTGACCATCTTTTCTACTGCCTCTTCTCTGAATCTGCTTAACATTTCTTGCGTTGTTTCTCTGATTACCCACCTGTCTTCCTCACTTAGAATGTAAGCTCTCCGAAGGTGGTACATTACCTCATTCATATTCCAGTGGCATACAGAAGGTGCTCAGTGAGTATTTGTTCAAGGAACAAAGAAGTTTTGGATTTAATATAGTTTGTAACTTACTGGTACATGCAGAACTTTAGAAGGTCCTTTGTGCTCACACAACTTAGTCATCATTGAGATCAAAACTTTATCTAAAGATAAAGGGCATTATATAGGGTTTTAGTCTCTCTGATGCTACATAGCTCCTTACGTAAGCACCTCTGTGCCTGCGTGCTCTCTCCCTCTTCTCCCGGTTGGCATTCCAGGGGAACATATCTGGATGGTTCTTGATGGTCCTGTTGATGCCATCTGGATTGAAAACCTGAATTCCGTTTTGGATGATAATAAAACTCTGACACTGGCCAATGGTGATCGGATTCCGATGGCTCCAAACTGCAAGATTGTCTTTGAACCTCATAACATCGACAATGCTTCTCCTGCCACCGTCTCAAGAAATGGAATGGTTTTCATGAGTTCCTCTGTCCTTGACTGGAGTCCTATTCTTGAGGTATGACTGAATCCTTCCTTTGGTATAATTAAAAAGGGAAAAGAGTCTCACATTCGTTGTGAGCATGCTGATTCTTCCGCAGCTGGTGGTGTAATTGCCTTTTTATGATACTGTTTATAAAGGTCCTTGAACACACAGGGATTTCAGACCCTGATTGCCCCTCACAGGCTTCTTCAGTCCTCCTTCTGATCACTTAGAACTGTGATTTCCAGGTAATTGTCAGGCCTGCATGAATCAATAATCCTGCCAAACTGTGGCTGAGGATTGAAAAGTACAATTTAATTTCACTACTTTGGGGATTCATGACAGTTTTGAAAGATACTTGTTCACATAAAATTTGGGAATAACCATCTTAGAATTTTAATTTAAAGACAATTTGTTAAAATTGTATATAAAGGTTTTTAAAATGAGATTCAGTAGTCATAATATTAATTTTAACTATGTGGTTGGAAATATTTCATATGGTATCACTTCAGTTTATGATTAGGTATAGTAGTTTATTACTGTCAATATGTTCTAGATTATACAAATTAGAATTTTATTATAGTTATACACTTCTATATATGTTTAATTAAATCCATAATATAAGAGCAGAGTAAGTGGTACTGGATAACCCATGTTTTCCATGTTTTATGACATGGTTATGACATGGATGCCTAGATTTTTAATTTTTATTTGCCTTTATATTTTGAAGATGATTTTATTTTAAAACTTCTTAATTTAAATTAGGTAGATATTATTTTATATTTCTATTATAATTTTGTGCTCATATCTGTGTGGGCATATTCTAACTTTTATTAATATCTTTTCAAAAGCTACATGATTCTGGATTACAAAAGGGTTTAGACTCCATAAAATATATAAAGAGATACAAAAAAAGGATGTTTTATAGCAAAATGATATTTTTGAATATGACTATAAAATCACTTTTAAGGATTTCATATTGCATAATTAGTTTTTCTATCTATCAAAATGAAATATAGGTGCTCTTAGATGTGCAAAAGCACTCGTCAGTGATAATTAAAAAAAATACAGGCAGAATTTGGAATTTGGAACAGATCCAAATTCCACTAAGTTAGAATCTCCAGGGAGGAGACCCAGGACTCTATGCTTACAGATTCACAGTAGATTTTCTTCATATATCTGTGTTGGGTGACCACTAACACGACAGAGTGCAATTTAGTTGTAATTACATTATTTTTCCACTCAAAATATTTAAATTTCATAAAGTTGTTTGAAAATACTTTTATTGTACTAAATAGCTTGCACCTCAGGAGGCACACTTCTATCATACTGCACCTGGATTTTTACAGTAACATTAAACCTAATCACACTTTCACGTGTGTTTAAATGATGTAGTATCCTCAGAAGATCAGGAGCTTGCCATGGCATTGTCTCTCAGTAATGTCAGCAGTTGCACCATGAAATCTCATCAACATGACCCGGTAAACACGAGCTGTACTAGAAAAATAACAAATGGGTCAAAGTGTAAGGGGGTCTCAACCCTACACAAAATATGACAGGTTAACTAAGAAATTCGGAGAGCGGGAGAGAGAGTTTTCCCCAGGGAACAGCACACCAAATGGCTATCCGCTGGAAAATTGTCAGCCCTGAAAACACGCATACAAGTAACAATATACAGGCTGAGCAGGCTGCATTTATGTATTTGGGAATATACGTGCATATATATTTGCCTGTAGCAACAATTAGTAAAAAAAGAGACCATGAATTTGAAAGAGAGCAAGGAGGGGTAAATGGGAAGCTTTTGAGGGAGGAAAGGGAAGAGATAATGAGATAATTCTATTATTATCTCAAAAGTAAAAGCAATAATTAAAAAGTTATCACAGTATCCTTTTGGACATGATCATGAAGAAACAGGATTTACCAAGAACCAGACTAAGAATGTTAGGTCAGGATGCTGTGGCCTAAGAAACTTTCCAGATGTTGGGACCATCATGGAGGGCTGTGGCGGTAAGATGTTACCACAGGGAGAAAAGCCATTCTCTGGCCTCCTTAACTCAAAAAAAATCCTGTGTCATGTTTCATTAATGTGGAAGCCTGGCAGGTCCACGAGCTAATGACTGCTTTAGAGTTAAGATTTTACTGTTTCTGTCTTGAGTCCCTGAGTATTTCCTGGGCTGTTGAGTTGACGGGAGCACTCATTTCTTGAGCCCGTGAGAACCAGCCTAAAGAAAGTCTGGGACTGTGGGCCAGTGACAGAGTTCTGGGTGGCATTACCCACACTGAAGTTTAAGTGATATTTTCCTATGAAGGACAAAAATTTCTTTATTTAGCCCCAAATGACAAATTTGTCCTGCTTTCTGAATACCTTTGATATTTTCTATGTAACTTATTAAGTCAGAAAAAAAATTAATGGAACAAATGTACATTTTTATTTTGTTTCTTGATTTTTAAAGCCTGGGTGTGGAGTTTCTTCACGTATCTTTCATTGCTTTTCATCAGCTTATCAACTCCCTGTGGATGCCTCCTGGGTTTTTTTGTTTCTTTGTGTGTTTGTTTTAAGTACATTTTAACCGTCGTTAAGTTAGGGTCTGTCTCTGCATGCATGCATGCATGCATGGCATTGGAGGTGCCCATGTGAATGCCTCAGACAAAATTTTTCAGTTCTAATTCTGGCCTTGCCACCTACCAACCATGGGATGCATGGTGGTTTATAGAAGCTGGAAATGGAAATGTCAAAGGGGGATAAGTTATTAAAATTTATAAAATACCTCATATCTCAGAGGGTTGTTTGGAAGATCTAAAGGAATTATTATATGAAAGAGTTTACAGCCAGGCATGGTGCATCTTACCTACAATATCCATTTGCACAATTATTAATTAATGGTAAGTAATTAATAATGCCGTAAGAATGTTCTTGCCCCAGCGGTCACTTTCCTGGTTTCACCAATGCACGCTGTGTGAACCCACAGGGTTTTCTCAAGAGACGATCTCCTCAAGAGGCTGAAATCCTTCGGCAGCTGTACTCGGACACTTTCCTGGAGCTGTATCGTTTCAGCATTCAGAACCTAGAGTACAAGATGGAGATGCTGGAGGCCTTCGTCATCACGCAGAGCACCCACATGCTGCAAGGCCTGATCCCTCCGAAGGTAAGGGGGTGCAGCTTCCCTCTGAGCACACTGTGCAGAGAGCACAGCATTTCAAGCCAGCTTTGGTTAGGGTGGGTGGGAATGTGCTGGGGCTTGGGAGAACCTTCAGACATGCCAATTTTTCCCCCTCCATAGCTTTCTTACAACAAAGCAAGCCATTGATTCGAATTCTGTTGCTGGTTAGCATAACTATATAACAAATGTCATTCGTTTTGTTTAAAAGTATTTCCACTGTATTTTTATTTATTTATTTTGTGTTTGTGCAGAAGTCAGAGGACAAGTTGTGGGTTTGTTGGTTGTTTCGTTCGACCACGTGGATCTGGGGAATCGAACTCAGGCCGTGAGGACTGATGCCGAGTGCCTTTTCCCACTGAGCTTGCAGTCTTTCATTTATTTTAAAAGCCAGTTCGTACGCAGGGAACTTGGTTTCTCATTTGTTACCCAGTTGTATCTTTTGTTCTCCTGGGGATAGCTAATATCTCTCTCTGAGTTTTATTGTTTTCATTTAGCAAAGTTTTAGACGGAGACTGAGAATCAAGTAATGAAAAGAGAACACTTTGTGAGTCCTCAGGAGCAGGCGGGGGAGATAGGCCCGGAGCACCTGGGGAGGCTGTTTGTCTTTGCCATGATGTGGAGTGTGGGCGCTGTCCTGGAGTTGGAAGGTCGCAGGAGGCTGGAACTCTGGCTGCACTCGCGAGAGGTGCCCACGCTGCCGCTGCCTGAGCCTGAGGATCCCGGGGACACGATGTTTGACTACTATGTTGCACCGGAGGGTGAGCATGCACTGCACGCACGTTGCAAGGATGGGCTGTTAGTTCCAGCATGCTCTTGTGTCATTAAAGTGAGACTCTTGGCTATAAAACTAAAATAGGAATCTTAATGTACATAGGAAAGGTAGCGATTGTTGCTTTCCGAAGGTTTACTTTGGATTCCAGGTACGAGTTCCATTGGTGCGGTGTGTGGGGTCTTTACTGACTTGATGCAAGTTGAATCAATTTCCTACTCAGGTATACACAAGCCATTCAACAATTGGTGTAAAAATTACATTCAAATATAGGTGTCTGTATTTACAAATGGCTATGTACTTATCTATATATTACTATATAGATATATAGATCTCTCTACATATATATCTCTATGGACATCGATAGAGACTTTAGAATGACTTATATGCATAAACATATATAATGCATACAAACATACATATGCAATAATATGCAGAAGCAATTTTATATTTTATGTGTATCCATACATAAGCCATCTAGTATCTTTCACCTAATGAAAAACTGGTGAGATTTGACATTTAAAACTAATAATTGCTTCAGGTACATGCTTCTCACTCTCTTCTGTATTTTTATGTACACTATATTGTTGAAAAGCTGCATATTGGGAAAACAGTTCTAAAACCTGAGTATGTCCAGATTCAGGACTCCATTCGAAGTAGTTCCCTGGGAAGTTTTGTTCAAGCTAATTAACATGTATTGAGATCTAACCTTACTAAATATTTTTTTGGGGCACACGGTCTTACATAGTCCAGATAGGCCTTCAACTTGCTATGCTGTTGAAGATGACCTTCAGCTTCTGATTCTCCTGCTTCCATATTTTAAATGCTGACATCACAAATACGTGCTACTGCACCTGATATCCTCTTTAGCTTTAATTTTCAACTTGTTACAGCTCAGAGTCATCTGAGAGGAAAGTCACAACTTAAGAATTTTCTTTGATCAACTCCCCCTGGTGAGGTGGCCTTACTAAGCCACAGAGAAAGAAAGAAGATTCAGACAGTCCTGATGAGATCTGATAGACTAGGGTCAGACAGTAGGGCAGGAGGACCTCCCCTATCAGTGGACTAGGGAAAGGACATGGAGGGTGGGAAAGAGAGAGAGAGGGTAGGACCTGAAGGAGGTGAGGGAGGAGCCTGCAGGGGGGATACAAAGTGAATAAATTGTAATAAATAATGATAGTAAAGAAAAAAGTTCTGTAGATCAGTTTGCTATGGAGACATGTCTGTGAGGGACTATTAGCAGACGCAGGAGGGACCCAGCCCACCGTGGGTTGCACCATCTCCAGGAAGGTGGCTCTAGAAAGCTAAAGGTGAGCCAGGGGTCAGGACAGTGGGTGAGCAAGCAAGCAGCACTCCTACATGCTCCAAGTTCCTGCACTGAGTTCCTGTCCTGACCTCCCTCAGTGGTGGACTGAGACCTGAGAGCAGAAAATGAACTTTCCTCTCTAAGTTAGCTTAGGTCAGACTTCTATTACAGCAACAAGAAGAGAAGCAGAAGACTCTATTTTATGTAGTGGTAGGGGTTGAAGCCAGGGCATTGTACATGCTAGACAATCACTAGACCAGCTGGGCTATATCCACGTATCCTTAGTGATCTTTGTTTTATGGCTAATATTTGAAGCTGGCTCTGTGACGTTTTGAAGTTGCCTGATCATCACGGGGATATACATTATTAACTGGAAGGTGTGAGCGCCATGTTCTTCGCAGGTACCTGGAAGCATTGGAACACGTGTACCCCGGAGTATGTGTATCCACCTGATACCACCCCAGAGTATGGTTCTATCCTGGTGCCAAATGTGGACAACGTGAGGACTGACTTCTTAATTAAAACCATTGCCAAACAGGGCAAGGTATGGCTTTTCAAACTACTATTAAACATAATGTACTTTAAAAGATACTTTTTAATGCACTTTAAAAGGTCCTATTGAAATACAAAGGTACCTTGAATTTATTTTATACTACCTTCTGTTTCTGTTGAGAGTAGGTGGAAATACTGCCTACTAAATGAGTGAACTCCTTTTGTTCTCTCACAACGACAACCCAATGTGTCCAGTAGGCCTAATTCCCAATTAATCATTCCTCGAATAGTACTTGAAGCAGGTGAATTTTTGACTTGTTCTTGTTAAGATAATTCTTTCCCTTTTGGTTGCCAACTTAGTTTGCTGTAGCTGTCTTAACAAAATACTGAAATAAACAATGGCAGTTTCTTTCTCAGCTGGAGGCTGAAAGCCAAGAGTCTTGGGATGTTGCTAAGGTTGCTTTCTCCATTGGCCTTTTTTCTTGTCTTCTTGTGGCCCTTTCTCTGTCGTGCATCTCTGCTGTTTCTCAGTGTACCTAGATTCTGAGGCCCCTTTCTCTGTCATTCATCTCTGCTGTTTCTCAGTGTATCTAGATCCGTTGCTTCTATCAGGTCATCATTAGGCGGGATCATGCACCTGCTTCATCTGGGTGGCCCTAGGTACAGTCGCATTGGGAGATATCGAGGATTCCTCTTCAGTTTAGGAGTTAGTGGGCAGGAGGGGCACAGTTCAACCCATATTGCTGGTTTTATTTCATTCCCTCTGAACTTCTTTATTTTAGGCTGTGCTGTTAATTGGTGAACAAGGAACAGCCAAAACAGTCATAATAAAAGGATTTCTGTCAAAATATGACCCTGAAAGTCACATGGTCAAGAATCTAAACTTTTCTTCAGCGACTACCCCACTGATGTTTCAGGTACTGCCTTTGCTGTTGCTCACAGGTCCGTTGGGTCAGTTTTGGAGGCTCAAAGTGTTCCATGTGTCTGTGAAGCCTTGTCGGACTTTTTGTAACCATGACATCATGTCAACAATGTCTTCTCTTGTCTCTATTATTCAAATGAAGTAAAATCTCTTTCTTGTTAGGTTGTTCTATATAATCTTAAATTATGGAGAAATAAGACATTCTCAAAGAACTAATAAAAGGTATAGAAGCTACCATAGGCCTCAGTGGTGTTTCAAGCATGTGTAGAAATGTAGGACATATTAGAAAAAACATTTCAAACCTGAGGTATAGACAATCAGTTTCTGAGTAGAACACTAAAAGCTCAGGCGAAAAAAGGATTGGCAAGTAGGACTTCATGAAATTAAGTATATGTACAGAAAAGAAATTATAAAGTGCAGAGACAGCCTACAAAATGCAAGAAAACCTCTGCATTTTGAATAAAACCACTTATTCATCGGATGGAGAAATAACATCTAGAATATTTAAGAACTCAAAAAAAAACCCTAAATAATTAAATCATAATATGAAAAAAATAACCTGAACAGACACTTCTCAAATAAAAAAATTCAAATGCATACAAACATGATGGAAAAATGTTCAGCATATTTGGAATTGGCAAAATGCAAATCAAAACTAGACCAAGCCTCTATCTGTCCTGCATAAAAATGGGTATTATTAAGAAAACAAGTATTTGTGAGGATGCAGGAGCATAATTTTCTTTATGAAAATTTAAATTAGCGCTGCTGGTATCCAAGTCAGCATGAAGGCGCCTCAGAACATTAAAAGTAAAATTTCCACACTGTACAGAATCAGAGTGAGTGGATTATAGACACACTTGCTATATCTATTGATGTGCAATTTCTACCAGCCATGTTACAAAATCAGTTGATGTGCTGTCATCAGATGAATGGATGAAGTCGCATACATATGCAGTGGAGTTTTATCCAGCCATCAAGAAGAATGGAAATAGATTGTCTGTACTTCAGTACATCAAGTGCAATAAGCCAGATTCAGAGAATACACTTAGAAGTGACTTTGATTTTTTGGGGGGTAGATACTTAGAGCTGGTTAAATCTGGATCATATGGAAGTTCTACTTTAAGTATTTTGAGGAGCCTCTATGCCGATTTCAACGGCGGTTGCACCAGCATACAGTCCCACTAGGAGTGAGAACACGCGCCTTCCTTCTCATAGGCAGAATTTAGTGAGGGAAAGTTTATGAAAATTAAATTCTGCCTGCTAGGGATGTGAAAGAGTAAAGGAAAAGGTCAAGAAAATGTAACAGAAAGAGTGAATACAGTAAAAAAGAATGCATGTATGGAAGCGCTGTATGAAATTACTTTGTACAATGCACATTTACAGTACAATTAATTTAAAAATACTGTATTGGAAATAAAATCATTTGTATCTACAAAGTCACAAACTAAACCATCACTACTCATTTTCCTGTATAAACTTTCACTTTCTGCTTAATATCTGCCTTTTTGGTATATTATTTTTTATTCTTTAGTGATTTTAGAGTCATCTTTGATGGATAGCTTTTGAATCCAAGGATGTTAATGTATCTAAAGAAATGGTCCCCACAGCTCTCCTTTTGTTCCCTGTCCCCTGGGTAACCCACATCTCCTGATTCCACTACAGAGCTTCAGCATGGAACAGTCATGACCTATCCTTGGTTCAACTCTAATTTCTTCTAGTCTAGCTTTATGACTTTTCCGAACTATTTCCTAAATTGCTACTTTGTCTTCTCCTTCATGGTGTAGCATTCTAACTTGACAACCATGATAAACTGTAACAGGCATAAAATCTTAGAATTTTACCAGGTGAAATATACTGTGTCATATATCCTTATATCATATAGTAGTGACAACAAAAATCTTGGATTTGGGCTGCTTTAGTCAGGGAAACTTCAAGGACGGACCTGAGTTTGCAGTGGCTGACTGTTCCATCTTATGCGGGTCCAAAATTGCATATAACTATTAAACTAGAGAAAAGTTTTCCTCAGTGTCTTTTATGCACAACAGTCACTGGTTACTATTATTATTTGAATTATGCATGCACACCTGTGCACACATATCGTGTGTGTGTGTAGATGAGTATAGTGACTGTGGAGGTCAAGCATCAGATACCACTGGAGCTGGAGTTACAAGCACTTGTGAAACACTTGACATAGATACTGGGAAACAAACTCAGGTCCTTGGCAGAGACACTTTAAACCCCTGAGCCATCTCTCTCCAGCCCCCTTTTTTCTTCAAAAAAAAAAAAATCAAAATACTGCTATTTCACTTGCCCCCTTTTCCTTCTTACCTCCAACTCCTTCCAGGTCCTCTTCCACCAACCCCTCCTAAGAGTCCTCTTCTCAAACTGACTATTTTTCTTTATTATTGTTATACACACAAACAGAAAGAGAGAGAGAGAAATACCCTCCAAGTCTATTTAGTGTTGCTTATGTGTACACAATTTTAGAGCTGACCACTTTGTATTAGAATAACATTTAGGAGGATCATCCCTTAGAAACACCAATTATCCCTCTCTCAGCAATCATCAGGTGCCTGTAGTCTTTGTACCCTGTGAGATTTCCTATTTCCATATTAGCATATCTGTGGGTACTGTCGTCGCTCAGACCTTGTTTAGAGAACCATATTGTTAAGTATCATTGGTGTAGCTTCCTGTCACAGCAGACTTTCCGGTACCTTGGCTCTTGCAATCTTTTGGCTCCTCTTAGGAGATGTTCCCTGAGCCTTAGCTGCAGGAATGGTGTTGTAGATGTATCGGCTCGGGATAGGCATTCAGTGATCACATATTTTGTGCGTTTTTCAGTGTGATTTTCTTTGTATTGCAGAGAAAAGCTTCTTTGATAATGGATGAGATTTATCTTTGGATATAAGGATCCATTCAGAATGCAGTTAGGAACAATGCCAGTCTAATAAAGTGGGTGGTAGTAGGTTCTTCTCTAAGATCCATGGCATTATGAGCCTCGGGTAGATGGCTAGGTTTCCAGTACCAGGCATGACTTCTCTCTTGTTGAGCAGGGCTTAAATTCATTTAGATGGCTGTTAATTATTGCCAAGATCACTGTATATATTCATTGTAAATTGTATTATGTCACATATGAATATTTTCATATGAGTCTATATTGTACATTGAACATATTCTCTCTGCTTTTCTTTTTGTTCATCCACATTTCCATTTGTTACAAAAGACATGTAGATACATGGAACAGATTTTATATGTCACAGCTATATGGCATAGACCTCAGTAAGGATTCTGGGTGTGTCTTGAACTCTAGATACTCTTGACTCTAACTCTCAAGAGCAAGTATTGAAGGTATGTATTATCGCATCTGGAAACCGAGGAAGAATGTTTTATTAATGAATTAATTAATTTACTTTCCCTCTCTTCTTTTCTCCCAAAATCTCCATCTCCCCTCCCCTCCCTCTATCTCTCACTCCCTTTCTTCTCAGAGGAGGGGAGACCTCCCATTGATATCAATCCACCTTGGCATAAGAGGTTGTAATAGGACTAGGCACATCTTCCATTGAGGCTAGAAAAGGCTGTCCAGTTAGGGGAAGGGAATCCAAAGGCAGGCAACAGAGTCAGAAACAGCCCCTACTCCTGCTGTTAGAAGTCCTACATGAGGACCAATCTGTATATCTGTTACATATGTGCAGGGGGCTTAGGTCCATCCCATGCATGCTCTCTGGTTGGTGGTTCAGTCTCTACGAGTCCCTGTGGGCCCAGATTAATTGATTCTGTAGATTAATTTGTGGTGTCCTTGACCCCTCTGGCTCCTTCAAGCCTTCTTCCTCCTCTTCCACAAGATTCCAGAACTCCACATAATATTTGGCTGTGGGTTTCTGCGTCTCTTTTCATCAGCTGCTGGATGAAGCCACTCAGATGACAGTTATGCTAGCCTCCTGTCTGCAAATATAGCAGAATATGATTATTAATGTCAGGGGTCAGCTCTCTCTCATGGCATGGGACTCAAGTTGGCCAGTCATTGGTTGGCCATTCCCTCACTTTCTGCTCCCTTTTTATCCTTGCACCTCCAATAGGAAGGAAAAATTATTGGTCTAAAGTTTAGTGACTAGGTTGGCATCCCCATCCCTTCATTGGCAGTCTTGCATGGTTATAGGAGGTGACCATTTCCTGTTCCATATACCTTATTGCTAGGAGTCTTAGGGTCACCCTTCTTCTTTTTTTTTAATCCTCATTCTAACACATTGTTTGAGAGACTGGAGAGATGGCTCACTGGTTAAGGATAGTTTTTGGACTTGCAATGAGCAACCACAAGGTAGCTCACAATGGTCATTGGTTCCCGTTTCAGGAAATCTGACACTATTCTGGTTGTCATGGGCACCATGCATGCATAATGTGTATCTACATAAATGCAGGCAAAAACACATAAAAAATCAATATATCTTTAAAATTTTTGTTTGGGAATGTCATATATGCATATAATTTGCCTTGATCAAATTCCCCTCTAACTCTTCTCACACTAGGTTCCCTCCCAACCCCACATGCTCTATTTAAGCCTACTGAGCCTACTTAGTGCTGCCAGCATGTGCCCAGGGCAACTCACTGAAGCATAGACAGCCTACCAGGGGGCACATTCCTGAAGCAAACAAACACACTCCCTCCCTCAGCAGCCATTAGCTGACGATAGCTTTTCAGCTAGGGGTGGCACTTTGTGAATGCCCCTCCCTTCCATGCTGGGATTTTGTGCAGGCCTTGTGCACATAGTTACAGTGCTGTGAGGTCGTGTGTGTAACTGCCCTGTTGTGTCTGGAAGTCCTGAAAATGAATTGTTGTCTTGCAGTCCTCCACTGTCTTTCCCTCCTCTTCTAATGTAATTTCTTCTTGCTCAGCTCCCCCCCGTGTGTGTGTGTGTGTGTGTGTGTGTGTGTGTGTGTGTGTGTGTGTTAGAGAGAGAGAGACAGATAGTTAGAGGCAGAGATGGATAGCTAAAGATAG